TTTCTGTTTTTTGCCATCATTTCCTGGGATTAAAGGTGCGTGTCACCATGCCTGGCTGTTTCCAGTGTGTCTTTGAACTCACAGAGATCTGGATGGATCTCTGCCTCCAGAATGCTAGGATTAAAGGTGTGTGTGCCGCCAATTTTTTGGCCTCTATGTCTATCTAGCGGCTGTTCTGTTCTCTGACCCTAGATAAGTTTATTAAGGGGCACAATATATTTGGGGGACACAACATCACCACATAGCTCAGAACCACTAGCCCAGGGATTGCCCCACCTATAATGGTCTGGGCCCTCCTCCATCAATTACTAATTAAGAAAATGCCCTACAGCCAGTACTTATGGAGATATTTCTCAAAGTAAGGTTCCCTCCTTTCTCATGACTCTAGCCTGTGGTAAGTTGACAGAAAACTAGCCAACAGTATACATACAATTCTGTTTATAGCAGTGTGCTTTCTGACCCTCTCCAAATTGCATGTTCTTGATTTTTTTGTTTTGTTTGCTTTTGGTTATTTTCTATGTAGTCTGGCCTTGTACTCAGAGATCTGCCTGCCTCTGTCCCCCAAGCTAGGATCACTCAGCCATTTTATCTCAGCATCACTCAGATCTTAATCCATTTTGTTATCAAGCTTAAGTCCCATATTTTACCTAAATACAATAAACTCAAAAAGTCCTAAATCGTTTCTTTCTAAATCAGGGAAGTTAGTACAATGTTTTTCTCAATTTGTGATCCTATGAAACAGAAAGCAACAGGTGTGGTATAGATATTCTTATTTATTTATTTATTTATTTATTTATTTATTTACTTATTTACTTATTTACTTATTTACTTATTTATTTATTTATTTATTTATTTATTTATTTATTTATTTATTTATTTATTTATTTATTTATTTATTTATTTATTTATTTATTTATTATGTATACAGCATATGTGACTGCATGCCAGAAGAGGGCACCAGATCTCATTACAGATGGTTGTGAGCCACCATGTGGTTGCTGGGAATTGAACTCAGGACCTTTGGAAGAACAACCAGTGCTCTTAACCTCTGAGCCATCTCTCCAGCCCCTATAGATATTCTTATTCCAAAATAGATACATTGGAAGGGTAAAGGGAGTTGCTTGTCTAAAGAAAGGTTATAGGGCTTGGAGACAGCTCAGTGGCTAAAATGCTTGCTGTATAAGCACGAGGACCCAAGTTTGAATCTCCAGCAACCACATAAAAAGCTGGGCATGGTGTCATGTACCTGTGATTCCAGTACTGGGAAGGCAGAGACAGGAGGATAGATTTCTGGGGTTTGCTGATCAGCCAGGCTAGCCAAATTGGTGGGCCCCAGGTGAGAAACTTTATCTCATCAAATGAGATGGAGAGCAATAGAGGAAGGTGCCAGTGTCACCTGGTTTCACGTGCGTATGTACGTGCCCTCATAGATACATACACACAAAAGTATGTTCATTTAAAAAGTAGTAAATCAGGACTGTAATTCAGCAGAAAAATTCTGTTAGGTTCTTTGGTCAGAAAATAGTTTTGTGGCTTATTGACCAGTCTCTGGGCCTTTTGGGGTACCTGTAAACCAAGAACAATACATAGGTTTAGTCATCTGTAGCTATGGCTTATCCTAGACTAGGGTGCATATTATTTATCTCCTGGAAATGGGCATGCATCTTTGTTAGATGTGTGTGTTTTGGGGAAAGGAGAGCAAGAGTTGTCTAGTTCAGATTTTAGGTGAACCTGGGGTATTCTTGTTGCTCTGATTACTTTCATTGTCTGGCAGGATTATGTCAGGTTCCTCTGTCTTTTTTTAACCAGTAATGGGTTTATGTATGTCCTGGTTGTAGTAGTTTGCTGCCAAGTCCCCAAAGGGCCTAGTGCTTTTGGAAATAGTGTCTTTTTTCAAATGATGGGATTCTGTGCCTTTCCTTCAGTGAGTGATGCTTGACCTGAGGGCCCCCCCCCCCCCTTTTCAGGCTTGCATTACCAAAGGAGATTCTTTTTTTGTCTCCCCTTGTTCCAGTCGTCCCTGTGAAGTGCTATGGAAAATAGCCTTTGAGTGAATGCTATATGAGTATCATTCATTACAAGTATGCTAATACATAATTAATTTTGGGCAATTTTAAATCCTAATTTTGCTTTCTAAAAAGGATTTATTTAAGTCAGGCATTGGTGGCACACCCCTTTTAATCCCAGCATTTGGAAGGCAGAGGCAGGCAGATCTCTTGAGTTTGAGGCCAGCCTGGTCTACAGAGCTAGTTCCAGGACAAGCAGGGCTACTTCGAGAAACTCTGTTGGTGGGGTGTGTATGTGTGTTTAATTTATTCATATGTGTTTTGCCTGCATGTAAGTGCACTAGTGTAGTGTATGCAGTTCCTGTGGAGGCCAGAATAGGGCATTGGATTCCCTGGAACTGGAGTTACAGAGTAAGTTGTGAGCTGCCTGTGGGTGCTGGGAATCAAACCCAGGTTCTCTGGAAGAGCAGCCAGCGCTCTTTACCACTGAGCCCTCTGCCTTTCCCCCATAGTCCCTCTCCTCCTCTACAGATTTTTGAGGCAGTTGTTTTTTGTTTTTGTTTTTGTTTTTTTAATTTGCTTTGCTTTTTTAAAGTCCAGATTGGTTGTAACTGAGAATGGCTTTGAGATCGAGAGTATTTGGGATGGTATGGGCATAGACTCAAGGATGGCCCTGGACTCTTCTCCTGCTTCTACCTCCAGGTGTGTTCTGTCGTGCCCAGCTTTTCTGTTTTTGTGAGACAAGGTCTCGCTCTCACTCTCGTTTTTTTTTTGTTTTCTGAGACACAGTTTCTCTGTGTAGCTCTGGCTGTGCCGGAACTCGCTCTGTAGACCAGGCTGGCCTTAGACTCGGAGATTCACCTGCCCCTGCCTCCCGAGTGCTGGGATTAAAGGCGTGTGTCCTCACTGCCTGGGAAGACAAGGTCTCATGTAGTCTAGGTTGGTCTTGAACTCTTAATCTTCAGGTATGGACCACAACTGGCTTACTACTGTAATTTTTTAAAAAGTTATTTTATTATTTTATTCATAAAGGTGTTTTGGATACATGTATGTCTGTGTATCACATGTGTGCCTAGTGCCTACCAAGGCCAGAGAGGGTTTTGGATCTCTTGAGACTGGAGTTAATAGACAGCCTGTGAACCAACAGACGGGTTCTGGGAATTGATCCTGGGTCTTCCGGAAGAGCAGCCAGTCTTCTTAACTGCTGAGTTATCCCTCTGTCCTCTTACTACTATAGTTTTGAAATGCCTGTACTATTAGGCAGTTGTGGTTACACCTTTTTAGAAAGATGTGTGAAGCCTGACAGTGGTGGCACATGCCTTTAATCCCAGCACTTGGGAGGCAGAGGCAGGTGAATCTCCAAGTCTGAGGCTACCCTGGTCTACAGAGTGAGTTCTGGCACAGCCAGAGCTACACAGAGAAACTGTGTCTCAGAAAACAAAACAAAAAGATGTGTACATGTGCATAGAGGCCAGTTGTCAAACCTCAGGTGTTATTTCTCTGGTCCCATCCATCTTGGTCCGCGCCGCCCCCCCCCCCCCCCCCCCCCCCGCCCCAAGACAGGGTTTCTCTGTGTAGCTTTGGCGCCTTTCCTGGAACTTACTCTGTAGCCCAGACTGGCCTCGAACTCACAGAGATCTTCCTGCCTCTGCCTCCTGAGTGCTGGGATTAAAGGCATGTGCCACCACTGCCCGCCCCATCTTGTCTTTTAAACAGGGTCTTTTACTAACCTGGAGCTTGCTGAGTAGGCTAGTCAGGCTGGTGGCCTGAGTTTTGGGGGTTGAGCTGAGGTTCTCATGCTTGGGTGGCAGTTACTTTTCCAATTGAGCTGTTGTATTGCTCCTGCCCTTCTTTTTAATTTTTATTACCAGCTGGATGGCTTTATTAGGTATTATGTGATATTTTGATGCAATATAGAATTCTCCTTGTTAGTTTAACAGTAGCTTTATACATGCACTCCAAACCCTGCTCCAAATAAAAATATATCCTTTCAAGAAGAACTGCTAAACTTACTCTTTTTGTTTGTTTTTCAAGACAGGGTTTCTCTGTGTATCCCTGGCTGTCCTGGAATTCTCTCTGTAGACCAGGCTGGTCTCGAACTCACAGAGATTCACCTGCTTCTGCCTCTGCCTCTGCCTCTGCCTCTGCCTCTGCCTCTGCCTCCACCTCCCTAGTGCCGGGATTAAAGGTGTGTTCCACCACTGCCTGGCAACCATTGGTTTTTTGTTTTTTGTTTTTTGTTTTTGTTTTTGTTTTTGTTTTTGAGGCAGGGTCCTATTATCAAACTCATAGCCTGGACCTTGCAATGTAATCCAGGCTGGCTTTGAAGTTGTTATTTTTACCTCCAGCCTAGTGAGTGCTAGGATTATGGATATGTGTTTTGTCATTCCTGGCCTCTTGTTTCTTAAAGCCCCCTTATGGGTATTACAGTGATTAGACATTGTTCTTTGTTTTGTTGGCTGTTAAGTTTTATTCACTTATGTACTGCTCATCTTAAGGTAGTATTTCTGTGATTAAGTTTCTGTCACATGGCTGGCTATCCATGATTTTGAGCTGTCAAAGCCTATTTTTACATGAGAAGTGAACAAAATGTCAGTTGAAGTGGCTGGTGTTGGTTAAAGAAGAATTTCTGATTTACTAAGCTAACATGCTTAGTAACATTCCTTCCTGCGGCACATAATATGTTGTCGGGACTTCATTACTAATGTGGAGAGTTGAAGTAACCTAAACTTGGTTCCCATATTTTGTCCTGTAGGTTATGGAAGACTGTGTTCTGCCCATGACCTCAGTGCCAGAGAAGAGGCCTCTTGTCTGGCAGGGTTTTTGAGTTCAGTGAAAAGGCTAATGAAAGCAGTGCCTTTGTGAACTTAGGATTCTTTAGTAAAGAAGATTAGATAAAAAATATATTAATTTCTGAAGATAGCTATAAAGTAGATTGGTGTCAAGCATGCCTATGATTTTTGTCTCATTTTTGATTTTGTCCTTTATCCCAAGACTTGCTATATATGTGATGAACAGGGAAGAGAAAGCAAAGCGGCCACTGGTGCTTGCATGACGTGCAACAAGCATGGGTGTCGACAGGCGTTCCATGTAACCTGGTAAGTGGCTTTCATCATTGTACATGCAGAATCGGAAGTGCATTACATAACACCATGACATCAGATACACGATACCCATGTATTGTGACACCGATTCCGACTGGAATAGGGTTTTGTTTGGTGCCGAAGATCAAACTCTGTGCCTTTTATAAGTCCCTGAGGCATAGGGATCCCTGAGGACCTCCAGCCCCCAGACTCCACCTCCTGGCAAAACCCCGCCCCTCCAGCCTCAGGTGGCCAAGCTCCTCCCTACAGAGTAAAACGTCCAAGTTCAGGATTTGAAAACCTACTCCTCCCCACCCTGGAAAGCGCTGTCCCCACAAGAAGCCCTATATAAACCCTGTCTTCTGCTTAGTTTCCTGCTGCTTCTCACTCCAGCAGAGGCGGCCACCCCCCAGTAAATCTCTTGTGTGAGGTTCGTTGTGTGGTGTGACTTTGTGGTATTCAGAGCTGTAACACTTGCATTGGGGAAGTCTTTCCCCCTCAGAACTGTAACACTTAACACCTTGTAAATGTTACAAAAGCACTTTGCCATCCAGCTACATCCCCAGCCCTCTTTTATTGTTTTTTTTTTAACCAAAAAAAAAAAAAAAAAAAAAAAACCACACAAGTCTATGTTGATCTTGTTCTCTCTGCTATGATTTTGAAGCATGTATGAATTGCAAAGAATTGTTCCCTTTAAGTTGATGTATGAGCCAGGCCTGGTGGTACAAGCATGTAATTCCTGCTACTCACATGGAGGCAGGAAAATTACAAATTCAAGGCCTACATGGCCTAGTGAGTTCAGAGCCATTTTGGAAAACCTCATGAGAGAGATCCTGCTTCTAAAACACTAAATTGAGAGCTGGCAAGATAGTTCAGCAAATAAAGGTGCTTCCTGCCAAGCTTGATGATCTGAGTTTAAACTCTGGATCCCACATGGTGGAAGGAAAGAGCCAACTCTCCCAAATTGTTCTCTGACCTCTATACATGCACTGTGGTTCAAGGGTGTACCCTCCTCAGAAATACACGCTGAATACCTGAATAAAGATAATGACAAATAAACAAGGAGAGGGATGTAATGGAGTAGTCGTGTGCTGGCTTAGCATGGGAGACCCCAGTACCATCCCACAAAAAGAAAAGACATTGTTTCCATCTGTCTCCTCACTACCACATTGCTGTTTCAGACCTTGATTTGTACTAACACACTGATTTATTTAAAAGTAAGAACTACTAATTATGAAGAGAAAAGGATGTTATCTCTCTCCTCCTCTTTTTTCATCACTTGTGTTTATTTTTCTAACATTTGTTTTATTTTTTGAAATTATAGTTATATCAATGAAACATTGTTACTGTGTTTTCGAGGACTCTCATTGTTATCCAGGCTTGTTTCAAACTGGGCTCAACCCATATCTGAGCCCTTGGGATTACAGGCATGTGTCATCAAATGCAACTTTTAAAGCAACTTAATCACTGTTTGGTGACATAAAACCTTGATATATCTTCATTCATGATAGAGCTGAGTTTATCGTAAACTATACCGTAGTCTTAAAGAATGATAAATTTATAAGTGAAGGTGAAGTGACTGGTCATAACTACAATAGAGCTTTTCTGTCCCCTTCTAGTTCGGGCACGACAAGGACCTTGCCCATGTTAATGAAATAAGCAGGTGGTTTCATAACTGAGCTAGACTTCTGCCCACCCCCCATATTACCTCTTTTTCCTTTGTATTGTCTTACAAATACCAAAAAGTTAATTTTCTTTGCTTAAATGTACCATGGCTTGAGGTTTATTGATGTCCGTGGCTTTTGTTTGCAGTGCTCAATTTGCTGGGCTGCTTTGCGAAGAAGAAGGGAACGGTGCAGACAACGTCCAGTACTGTGGCTACTGTAAATACCACTTTAGTAAGCTGGTAAGAGCAGTTTCCAACGTAGTACTCAGTAGTGGTTGATTTTGACAGGATGGTGACACCGTCATATAAAGGACATAAAATAAGAGCATGGTCAGTTTCTTGCTTGATTTTTACTGAAGATTAAATTCATTTAGCATGTTCTTATTGAAAATGGAAAGAACTAGTAATTTTAAAAGACTTAAAGCAGAGTATACTAGTAATGGATAGCGAATATCATGTAGTGGAAAAGTTATGTTAGAGAACTCTTGAATGCTGGAGCTGCTTTGACTTCCTGTTAGTAATCACTTTGGATTTTGTGGTTGTCACTTGTCTCACCTTCCTGTCGCAGCAGCGCTGTTACCCCCTCTTACTTGTTAGAGACACACCTTGTTCTTATTTACTAGGAAGTAGTAAAACAGAATAAGGCTGTTTTGTAACTTGGTTAAACACCCTGATAAAATATATTTAGACCCATCTTGGAAGGTTTTGAGATTTTGTCAGACTTTGTGGTTAAACACTTACATGGATGATTGAGTTAGAAACTTTTTGAAGCCTTTGTTTTCTTTTTTTAAAGTTTTTAAAATTTTATGTGTGTGAGTGTTTTGCTTGCATGTGTGTATATGCACCACAAAATGTGCCTGGTGCCATCAGAGGTAAGAAGAGGGTGTCAGATATTCTGGATTTGAACTTATGGATAGTTGTGGGCCCCATATGGGTGCTGGGAACTGAACTTAGGTCCTCTGTAAGCACCAGAACTCTTAACATGTCTCTAGTCCATGGTTAGAAACTTTGGATTCTATGTAACTTATATCCATTTTCCTTTGAAAAAATAAGTTTTTAATGCTTTCAAGTATCTGTTTCTCAGTTCTTAAATATGTAGATTCATACACAATGTTTTTTTTTCTTTGTTTTTAACTGTGTTATTTTTAATTACCTTTCCCTGTTGAATAGATCTTGCTTGCCCCTCCCTCCATCTTATAAATAAATAATATTATTAACCATCCTTCAGGCCTCTGCTGATGAAATCACCTACTACAGCACATTGTTGTGGTGTTTCTCATCAAATGATACATGACTATACCTAAAGTGTGTATCTGTATCACTCATTGCTGAAGACTGATATATCTTAATGGCTGGTAGAAATGAACTGTTTATAAGAAGTTGAGACATTATGAAATTGTAAAGTTTGAAGCTGGGTGTGGTAGCATGTTTGTAACCCCACCCACCCAGCACTTGGGAGGTAGTAGAATAAAGAGCTGAAAGTCATCTTTCTGCCATATATTGTTGAGGGCCAACCTGGGCTACATGAGACCTTATCTCAAACAAATAACTTAAATAATTTTGACATTCATACAAATAGTTTTCCTCATTACTAATTATTGCTATAGTGTTATTGCTAGTTATAAAAATTCATCTGATTTAATAAAATAACTTGTGTAGAACTTGAAGTTATTTTATAGTCACTTTTAAAGTCTGTTTAAAACTAATTACAGTGTGAACAACTTGTAAGTACCCAAACAACTCTTACCTTCCTACTCTATTACGCAGTGCTATATTTTAAACAGAAAAATGTAATGCTTTTAGTAATGCTTATAAAAATGCATGGGTCTGATACTGATATTTGTCTTAATTTGTTCTAAATAACCTGTAGAGATAAGCTGTTAGAGAACTTTTTCTCAGTATTTATTGAAAGTAAATGCTTCTTGCTTTACTACTTGCATAAAGCAACTCTTTTAAATATTTACTTCCCTATTCTTCCAGTCTTGCCATCTACTTTTCCCCTGTGTCCCAAGTGCTGGGATTTCAGCTGGGTGCCACTGTCCCCAGTGGCATTCTTCTTTAATATACCTTTTGGTTAAAGCTTTTCTTTTCTTTTTTTTTTTTTTAAATCAACTTTAAAAATATAATAGCTTATTTGAAAATATAGTAGCTTTTTTTGTGGGGGCTGGGGCACGGTTTCTATATGTAGCCTTGGATGTCTTCTCTCTATGTAGGCCATGCTAACCTTGAACTCACATGGATCTGCCTGCTTCTGCCCCCCCTGAGTGCTGGGATTAAAGATACATGCCTCTATGCCTGGCTTGTTTTCACACAACTTAATAAATAACAAAAAATATGGCATTGATGTTAAATTTAAGGTTAGTTTTTTTTTCTTTATAATGCAGTGGATTGATGTTTAAACTCTATTATATAACTTGAAATACTGATTTTTTAAAAAAAACTTGACATTTAAACATTTCACATTGAAAATAGTTTAAGCCTAATAAAATGGATTTTTTTATATACATATACACATATGTATATATTTTCTTTTTTAGAAAAAGAGCAAACGGGGATCTAATAGGTCATATGATCAAAGTTTAAGTGATTCTTCCTCTCACTCTCAGGATAAACATCATGAGAAAGAGAAAAAAGTAAGTGGATTTGTTGTTGCTAATTATGTAGCACATCACTTAATAAAATTAAAAAAATATTTTTAGGTAAAATTGTTTTTTACAGCTAAATGGAAACATTGAAATTCAGCAAAATTTTGGCCCAGTAGAATATTAAGTCAAAGACCAGGTTTAAAATAATGCCATATTTGTAAATATGGTTTTGACCATTGTAATTGAAAATTTAAATACAACTTGATTGGCAGCATGAGAGTGATTTCTTGCATGTGTTAACAGGTCATCTTATAAAATCTTGAGGTGACTTGAGCAGTGATAGTTTGTTGCTATGTATCACTAACTGATTATGTCACTTGTAAGTAATTTTCTCATCGGCTTTTCTCTTTTGTAATAGAACAACATTGAATTCCAAATATTCTTGGCTGATTTTTATTTTTCAGTGATGCTAATGTTTTTGTTTTTGTTTTTGTTTTTTATGCGACCAAATAGTGTATCATTTGTTTGTGAATTGTTTGCCTTTTTAATCAAAATACTAAATCTTGCCTAAATACTAATCTTTATTCTGATTTACCTATTTTCTGCTTACATTTTTACTTACTTTAAAGGCTGATTAATTTTTAATTAATTAAAAGCAAACATTATAGAACTATTCATACTTCATTTGTGGTTCTTTTAAGAATATATTGGCAGTATATATAGTAAAGGGATAACCCCTCTGAATTATCTTAATGGAAATAAGATAAAAGAGAGTATCTTAAATGGAGAAAGAGTGTTCTTGTAGAGTTGATACGAACCAGTTTTGAAAGTATATTTGCAGATTTTATTTAGTGTTTGAAAATAAGGTCATAAAACATACATATAAGTGTTTAGGATTTACAAAATACTAATGTATAGTTATTTTAGCACTTGTTGATTTCATATTATATTTGTACCTTTTTTCAAGTTAAATACTAAAAAAATTTCAAAATTTAGTTTTGAGATTGCTCCTTTACTATGAGCAAAATAATAAGTGCAATTAATTTAGCGTAGTTAGGGTTATATATGTAAATATTGGAGGTCTCTGGTAGCTAATAATTGCATGTGTTTATCTTATGAGGTAGTTTTGTGGTAAACTGACAGTAGGATTATGTTTATTGCTTGGATTGTTGATGAAAACAATGGCCAAGTTGGTTTAATTATGGTTTTAATAAGTGACACCGTGATTTTATTTAGGTTTTTGAAACCACAAAGTGAAGTTTCTGTAGGTAGGCCTTATTTAGGCCTTATTACAGTGTGAAAAGGAATGTGTTACCATTATTGGTCTTTAGTTGTGGTATTCATGAGCATTGTTTTGTTTTAGAAATGACCATTGCATGATTTGAGTGTATGCTCTATCATGTTATTGAAGGACAGTTACTAATGTAGTACAGTGTTGAATAAGTATAGTTCTGTGGTGTTGTGCTTGTCATTTATCTCCCCCAAATGAATATGATTTTGTATTTTACCAAATTTTTATAAATTGTGGAATTCTAGATTTTAAAAAATTGTGTTTAATTAAATTTGTTTAGCTCCAAATTTTAGAGTTGTAAACAATATTTGGATTTTACTTTTAGCATATATTAAAGGTAAACAATTTTTTTGTCATACAGTGTAAAATCTTATTTTATTTTTTTTCCTCTAGTGCTGGTAGTTGAACCCAAGGCCTCCAGCATGCAAAATAAGCACTCTTAACATTGAACTACACCCCCAGTCCAAATTTCTGTATTTTATTATTAGTTGGTCTTTTATGAATGTATTATACATGAGTTAAACCTACTGTAAGTTTTATCATTAAACTTACTAGCTTGCTTTGGAGTAGGACTTTTAAAATATAGTATGATGTTAAGTAATAACATAGTTGAATTTATGGGAGTGTTACATGCAGACAGATCTTTTCCTCCTTCTTTACATACTTATTTTAACAGCTGTCACCCTATCTGTCTGTCTGTCCAGTCATCATTCATTAGAGGAAGGGGTTCTTTATATTGTTCATATATAAGGACACTTAAACTCTTATTTTCAAGTTGTCATCTTGCCTCATCCTCCTTAGTAGTTGGAATAACAGACCTGCATCGCACTGTACTTGGCTGTTTTCTTTTAGATGTTTATGTCTAGACATGGCATGGTGATACACACCTGTAATTCCCATATGCAAAGAGTAAATTAGGAGGTTGTATGCTGTGGGATGTCTTGTATGTTGTGAATAAATAAAATGCTGATTGGCCAATAGCCAGGCAGGAAGTATAGGATAAGAGGGACAAACAACACTCGGGAGGCAGAGCCAGGTGGATCTCTGTGAGTTCGAGGCCAGCCTGGACTACCAAGTGAGTCCCAGGAAAGGCACAAAGCTACACAGAGAAACCCTGTCCCGAAAAACCAAAAAAAAAAAGAGGGACAAACAGAGGAGAGGCTGGGAGGTGGAAGTCTGGAGGAGACACCAACCTGCCGTCCAGGGAGCATCATGTAAAGGCAGCAGGTAACACGGAACACGTGGCGACATATAGATTAACTAAAATGGGCTGAGTGTAAGAGTAAGAGCTAGACAATGGTAGGCCTGAGTTAATGGTCGAGCAGTTTAAATAATATAAGCGTCTGTATATTTAATTTATAAGTGGCCTATGGGACTGCCGGGGCTTGGCAGGACCCGGATAGAAAAACTCTAGCTACAGTTGAGTAGTTCCAGGCCAGATTGGGCTACTGACAGCAACCACAGATAAATATTAGTCAGAAAAAATGATACCTGCATTGAACATTTATAGACTTTATTGTATTAGCCATAACAGATAATCTTGAAATCAGTGTATGGGAGGATATCACTAGATTATATGTAAGGCTACAACATTGTATGTAAGAGACTTGAGTATCCATGAATGAGTATTTCAGACACAGGAATGTGTCCTGGAAGCATCCCCATATCCATCCCTCTAGGATTATAAATCAGATGACTGCGTTTCATTGAAATGTAACATTCACAATCTGTCTATACTTGGGTATTTTATTTATTGTTCTGGTTATTGAGACAAGACTAGCCTTGAATTTCTGATCTTGCCTCTACCTTCAAATTCTGGAAATGTAGGCGTGTGACACAACACCAAGCAGACATTGGCAAATTTTGGTAATACTTTTTTTTTAAAAAATTTTATTGATAGTTGTTGTTGTTGTTGTTTTTCAAGACAAGGTTTTTCTCTGTAGATCTGGCTGTCCTAGAACTCACACTGTAGATCAGATGGGCCTTGAATTCAGTGATCTGCCTGCCTCTGCCTCCTGAGTGCTAGAATAAAGGCATTCACCACCACTGCTGGATATATTGATGTTCTTAAATGTTATTAAATGGACTACCTTGGTTTATCTCTGTTATGGAACATTCTTTGTAGGTTGTAGACTGTTTCTTATTAAATTAAAAACATATTAGTCATGTACTGCATTTAATGATAAATAGTTATCTAAATTACTTAAATCTGAAAGCTGGCAATATAAGTCAGTGCTAGGTGTATGCTTGATCCCTAATACTAAAAGACAGAACAAAAAAGCAGAGAACAAAGCTTTTTTTGTTTGTTTTTTTGTTTTGTTTTGTTTTTTCTAAGACAGGGTTTCTCTGTGAAGTCCTGGCTATCCTGGAACTCACTCTATACCTCTAGCTCAGAGATCCTGCCTGCCTCTGCCTTCTAAGTGCACCACCATGCCCGGTGAAAGCTTGTAACTTTTATAAATGAATTTATTTATTTAGCTGGTGTCTCACTATAGTTCAGCTGGCTTCAAAATTATAATTCTCCTGCCTTAGCCTTCCACAAGCTGGGACTGTAGGCCTGCTTTACCATGCCTGGCTATATTTTTGTTAACATATATTACTTTTGCAGAATAGGTTATGTTACCATATTTTCCCACACATGTATATAATAACATTTTGGTCATCTTCACCCTCCAGTATCCTTTCTTGTCCCTCTCCCTCTTCCTTTTACCAACTAGTCTCTCTTCTACTTTTGTGTCTGTTTTGTTTGTTTTGCATGATGGAGAGGATGACCTGATGAGTTTAAGATTGATTATAAGAGTATAGATGAAGGGTTATTTATAGGTATAGGGTCATAAGCTACTCATGAATATGCACAACTGGAGAAAATGTCTCTCTCCCCCAGCAGCCATTAACTGCCTATAGATCCTCAGGGGTGGGGTGGGGCTACATTTTTAAAACATCTGTAGGAACATTTAAGGGGTTTGAGAGATGGTTTAAGAACACTGGTTGCTTTTCCAGAGGACCCAGGTGTTTTTTTTTTTTTTTTTTTTTTTTTTTTGGGGTTTTTCGAGACAGGGTTTCTTTTTTTTTAAAAAAAAAAAAAAAAAAAAAAAAAAAACTCAAATATTGGTTCACAGCTGTTGGTAACTCTAGGTCCAAGGGATCTGATGCTCTCTTATGGCTGTGGAGGACACCGGGCACACATGTGGTTCACAAACATACATGGAGGCAAAATACATATAAAAATAAATAAATACAATAAAAATTTTAATAGGAACATTTAAAAACACACAGGATTTTCTTTTTCAGGGAACTTCTATAAGACCAAAGCTTCATGACAATGGGTTAAGAGACCCAGGTGTTGTGGCACATGCCTTTAATCATAGTACTAGAGGAGGCAGAGGCAGACAGACCAGCCTGGTCTACATAGTGAGTTTCAGGCCAGCCAGAGATACACATTGTGGCCCTTTCTTAAAAAGATTGATTAGAGATGGCTCAGTGGGTCAAGTGCTATGCACAGCATAGTGACCTAAGCACCTATGTGAAAACCAGGTGTAGTGATGTTTGCCTGTAACCTCAGTGCATGGCGGAGGAGGGAGAGAGAGGTGGATCCTTGGGGCCCATTGGGTACCTAAGTTAGCTGAAACATTGAGCTCCAGGTAGGTGATTAACAGTGTAAGGCAGAAGAAAAGCTCATAATGAGACAGGACTTTGGATAAAAGACAATTTCTATAAATTATGAAAATCTGACATATTTTAAAAGGAACCAAAGGAC